CGCAGGGCAACCCCATGTGACAGAGTAAAACTGTCCCGTAGCGTTCTAGCTGTAATCTTTACAGAAGCATAATACCAGGTCTTTCTCTAAAAGGGGTTCTGGGAGGCTCGGACCTCTAACATTGCAATTACTAGCCAAGTGCTTAATGGCTGTACCACAGGGCTCTTTCTGGATATAATGGATACACAATCTTTTTTGAACGAATGAATACATATTTGAAAATAAAACTGTTAATCACTTGCACTGGGCTAGCCCACTGATTCAGACAGACAGACTCAGGGTTGTGGAGTTAATTCTGTCCAATAGGACAGAGTAGAACTGCCCCTACGGATTTCTGACCTTGTAATTTTTTATGGGGGTAGAAAGCCTCTTCTTTCTCCATTGGAGTGGTCAGTGATTTTGAACTGCTTACCTGGCAGTTAGCAACCCAGGTTGTAACCCACCAGGGCTCCTGGGCTAGTTTGTGTGATCTATTGTTCAGTCTGTCAACCTTAATCATATCTCTTCTTCTTCTGACTGTACATTTATTTGTGGGTATACTTTTAATTCTATCTGATTATACTGTATTATAGTGGAAGATATTTATTAATTCCTGGGAATATTATGGGTATATTAGAACTATTAGATAGTACTTATTTATCATCAAGCCCACCAGAATAAGTTATTTAATAAAATATAACATTCTAATTTAACAATATCATCTGGAAGAAGGAAATTATTTTTTCATAATCTTGTCTTTTCTTTATTTTAAAAAAACTTGTCTTTTTCATGTTTAATATAATCATTTAAGAAAGCAGTTTAAAATAAATTGTCTCTTTAAGGTATTATACTTTAAAAAATCACTGAAAAACAAAACAACCCCACAATTTATTTTTAGTGCACTTTTCAAATATGCCAATTGATATGAAATTTGTCTCAATGAAGCTGCTAAAAGGCCAATTATAAGACTCAAAATACTTAAAAGACTGCCTCATGAGTAAAGAAAGAAACCTAATGGCTTCCTGAAATAAGATAGACAAATATATGCATTCACTGGTATAAAGCCAGCTAAAAAATTGGGCTTATATATCATAGAACATGTGCGGAATCCATTTACCTAAAATTAATATAGTAATTTTGAGGATGATATTAACTCAATTTAACAACATACACAACAAAAAGCAAAGCAAATTCTAGATAAATTTAACTTTCCAGAGTTTTAGATCTAAGAACCCTGGTGGCATAGTGTTAATCACAAGGTCAGCAGTTTGAGCCCACCAGCTGCTTTGCGGGAGAAAAATGAGGCCTTCGACTTCCATAAAGATTTACAGCCTTAGAACCCCATGGGGGCAGTTCTACCCTGCACTATAGCATCTCTATGAGTCAGACATGATAGCAGTTTGAGGGTTTCAGATGGAGGGAGATGAAATACGCTGACCAAACCTGAACACTAAGTAAAAGTAACTCAGGGGAAAGAAAAAGTAACACAATGGGAACTTATTTTCCCAAAACAGAAAAAACAGAACAGATGGAAACTCAAATTTCCCAAAGTGATCATTGGAATTCTAAATTATTTTTACTAGTTTCACTAATTGAAAAGTATCTTCGGTGTCTGTATTAGGACAGATTTTAAAGGGGAAATTGGGATACAATCAGGGCTTTGACATTATAGATCCTTTTTTTGGTTGTATTATTCGTTTTAGTTTTTGATATTTTTTCAACATTGTCCAATTAAAACAAAGAAACCCACAGAAACCAAAAAAAAAAACCTAGATGGAAGCAAAACAATTAAGCCTTCCTTATATAAGAATGTTGCTGGTATAGCTTGTACAACAGACAAGTTCTTATTCCAATGACTGATTTGTAATAAAGACTTGGCACCAAGAATGCTTGGTGAAATGATTCTGGGTGGCACAGAAGGACTTCACATATACTTTGCAAAGAAGAAAGACCATGATTGAACTCCGTCTGATGCATCTACTGAATTGAACACTTCTCCAGACGTAGAACAGAAGAATCAACCCAAACTGGGGCACTGGATCAGCAACTGAGGGCTAGAATCTTCAGCAAACAATGAAGCAACAATAACACTTTCTTCTCCGTAATCATCTTTCTTTAGTTGCTACTTTTTGAAAATCAAAATATCCTTGTTTTGTTAATTTGTGGAGAGAGAGAGAGAGTAATATAAAGCATTTGGGAACTAGAATTTTATTTACATCATGGAAAAACATGAAATAGTATTCTGACTGAATTCAAGGTACAATTAATAGTATTCTGACTGAATTCAAGGTACAATTTTTGGGAGGTGGGTGTCGTTTGAAACTAGCTCTTGTGTCACAAAGAATTTAAGTCGATTTCAATTTTCCTTCTTTCATAATCACTCAGATCAGTTAATTTAGAGACCTCACTTCTTTCTTGGTCTTTCTTAGAAACTTCTTAATTTAGAATATTTCTGTTATAATTTACTGCAGATAAAAGTTAATCTAGAAAGGGCAAGCGATCCACAAAGTGGCCCTTGGTGTTTTAAACTGCCTTTAGTAATGTCATTCCCACAATTTAAAAATAGCATGCTACAGGACCAAAATTCTCAGTTAAATGATTGGCAGGAGTCACAAAAACAAATCTCTCTGTTCTTTAATTAGCATTGCTTATTGAAGAAAGAAAAGCTAAATGTGCCCTAAAAATAAAACTGGAACACTATCTTCAGTGACCTTTGGAGGTAAAAAACCATTGTAGAAGATGACTACTGATTTTCTCTGAATCATATCGGGAAGATGGGCACCCATTGATTTGACTTTTTGTTCTTTGATGCCTGATACCTGGTCCCTTCGACACCTCATGGTCACACAGGCTGGTGTGCTTCTTCCATGTGGGCTTTGTTGCTTCTGAGGTAGATGGCTCCCTGTTTATCTACAAGCCTTTAAGACCCCAGAAGTTATATCTTTTGACAGCCGGGCACCATCAGCTTTCTTTACCACATTTGCTTATGCACACATTTGTCTTCAGCGATTGTGTCGGGAAGGTGTGCACCATGGAATGCCAATTTAATAGAACAAAGTGTTCTTGCATCGAGTAAGTACTTGAGTGGAGGCCCAATGTCCATCTGCTGCCTTAATACTAAACCTATAAATATATGCACGTAGATTTATTTCTCCACCATCCTATATAAATATATTTACATATGTACATGTCTGTATTTAGACCTCTATAAATACCCTTTGTCTCCTAGTTCTTTCCTCTATTTCCTTTTACTTTCCTCTTGTCCCACTATCATGCTCAGCCTTCATTTGGATTTCAGTAATTTCTCTCAGTTACATTGCCCTTGCTGAATCCCTACCAGGCCTCTTACACCCTCTTTGCCACTAATATTGGACCACTCGTTGCTCCTTTGTCCCTGGGTTGGTCAACACCACCTCCTTTCCCCCACCTCCCCCTCTCCCGTGTCCCCCTGGAACCATCGGTCCCGTTGTTTTCTCCTCCAGACTGTTCATCCAGCCTATCTTATCTAGATAGATCTGCAGAGATAATAATATGCACCCCAAAATCAAGGCATAGCAAGACAACGCGACAAAAGAGAATACAATGATGACAACAAAAAAGAAAACCAATAACCCAGAAAAGAACAAATTAATTTAAAAAAAAAGAAAAAATTTTAAAAAGAAAGAAAATCCTGTAAATAGATCAAGGTCTGATTTTTGACCTCTAGGTGTGTCCTCCAGTCAAGTCCGATGGGGTGCCACGCTCTGGCCCCAAAGTCTATCCTTTGCACTCCCTCGGGAGCTCTTTGCTCTGCTCCCCCGGAACCCCCTTGCTGTGCTGCATGCACGCCTTTAGTGTTTTGCCTCAGTGTCACAGGATCAGACTGGGCCAGTCCCGACACTGAGTCTCCAGTGTTGTCCCCTGTAGGGCCATGGGTCAGCGAGGGACTTCCTGTCTCATAGTGGGATCAGCCATATGGTCCACTCTGTGCATTGGCTCCTAACAGCTTTTATTGGTTGACTCATGCCTTTAAGAGTAGAATGATCCCCAAGCTGCCAAAGTTTTGAAGAGTAAAATTATCTCTAAGCAAAATCCTAGCACAAATAAAAGAAAAAATAAATCCAGACAAAAATGAGAGCAACAGTCATCCTCAGTAAAGCTCAGAGAACTCTACACAAAGAGGGAGGAGCTTGGAGGCGATCTAGGAAAGTGGCAAGCCAAGAGGCTCCTGTTTGTACCCAGACCTACGTTCTGAGCCTCCCGGGGTTGCTCTAGAAGCTGTCAGTTGGATCCCACTTCGGACAAGAAATGTACAAGCACAAATGACAGAATCCAGTTGAAATTACAAGTAAAGGACTTTTATTGTGAGACAAGGCAATTTCCAAATTGAGGTTCAGAGGATTCTGAACCAAATGATCCTAAGAGGAGACAGATTAGGAAGTTTTTATAAGAAAATATAGGGACTTTAATAAAAATTCAGTGATTGGCTGGCATTCAGTAGTAACTAAATTGGGTGCATCCAGCCTTAAAATGATAAGACCCTCCTTGTCTGATTGCAGGGAGTACATGCCTAATTCAAAGGCATATCTTGAATAAGTATCTGTTCTGAGAATTGTTTTGTACCTGGTATCCTGAACAGGGTACATTCTTAACCAAGCAAAACTTTTAAACAAACTAAATCCCATTCTTCTGTAAAATTGCTTACCAAGTAATTTTCTCAGGGTGTGGTACAGAGTTACAGAAATGACAGGTTGCTTGCTAGATGCAGAAATCACTTTTGATTCAAAATGGAGTTTGGGGGCTTATACTTGAATATAGCCACCATCTCATGTAAGGAGGCCCAAGTTAATTTTGGAGTGTTCTAACTCAGCTCAAGGAGACCTGGTGGCACAGTGGGTTAAGCACGAGGCTGCTAACCTCCAGGTTGGTGGTGCAAACCCACCAACTGCTCCATGAGACAAAGATGAGGCTGTCTGACCTTTGAAGGACGTACAGTCTTGGAAACTCACTGGAAGCATTTTTCTTTGTTCTGTAGGGTCTCAGCTCTATGAATCCAAACCGACTCAAAGGCAGGAGGTTTATTCAGCTCAAAAATACACTTGAAAATATTTTGTTTTCGAGTCACACATTTTATTACAAATTATTTTATTTTGTACCCAATAGAAAAGCAAGTTTAGAATCTATTTACAAGTACTATACACTCACATATATTATATACAGTTGATGAACTTAAAGAAAATGGACAGAGAAACACAACATATATGGAAGAATATGTCACTGTACATAGTTTGATATCATGGTTCTTAATATTGCTGAATCTTTACTGTAGTAATAAATACAGTTCTATATTTACAACTTTTATAAAACATCTCATAAATGTATTTCACTTCAATTCCAAGTTAAAACATCTGATCAAAATAAACATGCTTATATAAAAATAAATCTCACTAAATCTACCTTTTGGTTTGGATGTATTGAAGCTAATGTAGGATAATAGATGCTACAAAATAATTCTCCAACTTTTAATTTTAATATTTTACCTTTTAAAATAGCTAACACATGTATTAAATATGGAATACACCGAGGACCAATGTCTCTAACACCCAGGAGGTTGATCCAGAGAGAACATAACTAAAACCCAGCTGAATAGGGAGGATGAAATGCTACTTACTGCGCCTTTGCTGACTCAGAAGTGGTGTCAGACCCTAACTTACAGAGCTCTTTAGAGAAATACATGTAATAAGCCACGTCAGTACATTGATATCATTCTTACACTTGATCATTAGCCTAAGATGCACATTCATTTGAATCAACTTATGGAACCTCTTGTGCATTCATTAAAAAAAGTCCCAGAGTGCTTTGCATTTCTTTTCTAGCATGTCCGTTGCCAGCAATGGACTCTTATTCTGAGCTCTGTACAGCCAGGGGTTCCAAATGAGTTAGACAAGGAAAAACTCTTGTGCATGATCGCTTTCTTGGTAATTTAAGACTTAATTTAATATTGCTTTCAAAATATTTGTAAGCAAGTTTATTCCAGGGAGAGTGGAACCATTTAGTTCTGATATACAAAACTCAGTTTCTCTAAAAATAACCAGAATGTGAGTGCGTTAATAATACCTTAAACTTTCCTCAGGGGCATTGATGACCTAACAAGATCTTGTCTGAGGAAAGGCAAACCCCAGAAACCAAACCCATTGTCATCAATTTTGACTCAGCAAAACTAGATCATAGCGCAGGATTGCCGGAAAGGGCTTCCCGACAGCCATTTCTGCAGAAGTACTCTGCCTTATTTTTCCTGCAGAGTAGCTGATGGGCCGGGGCCTAAGGCTGACCTTGTCTTAGCAGCCCAGTGCTTAACTACGGCACCATCCTGAGGGGAGAAAAAGGGGCACTAAGGCAGTTCTCTGGGCCATTTAATAAGATCGGATGTTGAAAATCGTTAGTCTCTTTTGTTTCGACCACCTCTTAAGGATTTTTTGCTTAAATAAACCTATTATAAGAGGAAGTTCTTGGTATTCTTTCCCCCCCACACCATTAGGTTGATGAGTCTAAAGAGCATTCACTTGAAATCACGTAGAAGGTTTCGTGAAGGTCATTTCAATGCCCGTCTTTGATCCGGGCTCCCCACAGGAGTGTGAGTGATCAATCTCTTTGTTGAACTAGTTCTACGAACAGCATTTAGACTCACTTTTTACTTTCACGAATCGATAGATTTTCAACTTTTGCCCCACGGAGAGAATTTACTGAAACGAAACTCAGTTCTTCTTAGCGACTGCTCCGGACACACTCAATCTCACACTTTGAGGAGGTGTGCTCTCTCACCTTCATTAGAGACATGGAACAAATGCTACTGACGACAGATGACAGCTTTCACTCATTGGGTAAGCTGGCGAGGGCACGGAGGTGGAAGGCAGGTCATAGGCTATGCTGGCACTGGTAAAGGGGACCAAGGCTTGGGTGGAATCACAAGACTGTTTTTCAACATCATCAGAGTTAATAGACGTGAGGCTTGGGTGTTTTGATCTTGTCCAGAAGTGAGTTTGCTTTCCCAGGCTCCCTAGATCCTCCTTAAAATGTGGATTGAAGAGGATGTAGAGCAGGGGGTTGAGACATGCAGGGAGTGGGACAATCACCAGCAGAATAAACGTAATCACGTCGGGACTGATAAAGGGGAGGCTCAGTAAAGAGGAGAAAGACAAGAAGGCCACGGGGCAGTACAGGATACAATTGGTGAAGAGCAACAAGGCGACGTGCTTCACCATGGCACAGTCCCAAATGTTCTCCAGGTCTCTCTTTTCCAAATTGCAGTAGAGCTTGGTGTAGACAATGGTCATCACAAGGAAGCAAAGGGAATTGAGCAAGACCAGGGCGACCATGTAGCCAGTGGTGCTGGGCTCCCCAAAGGGCAGGGGCAGGCAGAGCGGGGAGGCGTTGTACTCACTGCCGCCCAGCAGGGGCACTGTGGCAATGGTCAGCGCCAGCAGGGCACAGAACAAAACAATTACTTTGAGACTGGAAAAAGGCGTTTTTGTTTCAAATTTTGGAGAACACTTCACAGAGAAACCGCGCTCTAGGGCTGCCAAGGTAAGCAGAAAAACAGACGACTCGGAAGCAAAGATGGACAGAAAACCGATGACTTGGCAGCCAGCCCCCTTCTCCCACCATGCACCATATTGTGCAAAACTGCCAAAAGTGAATGCATCCACCCCAGCCAGCACAGCAGTGGAGACCCCCATGTGCATGTTCGCCACCGCTATCAACCCAATTAGCAGTTTTATAGAGGAAATATACAGAGGGGATCTGAACACCGTCGAAGTCACCAAGGCATTGCCGGTAAGCGCCAAAACGGCTATAGCCCACACTCCAATTCGGATCAGCCAGCTACCAAACAGATGTTCACAGGGCTTGAAGGGTCCTGAAAATCCAAGAAAGAAAACCGACTTATCAAATCAGAGTTTGCAATATGTGGCAAATTACTTTTGTGGTTCACTTATTAGGACGCCCGGCGAGAAAGGGCCCAGTACCATGTAGTACCCTTGAGACCATCCGCAAGTTTCCTGAACCCTCATTGTCCTTGTTTGTCTCTTTGGCAGCACTGAGGGGGAGGGGGAGGGGAAGGGTGGACCAACTAAGGGCCTGTGTTTCCAGATTATTTGCAGAGAAATAGAAATGGGGGTGGGTGGGCGGTAGGTAAATTGCTTGGCTGAGGTCCCTCCCCACAAAAGTGCTGGGGGTCAAATAAAATGCCAGATCTTCTGAATTTTCCATCATGTTTTAGAATGCTTCAAAAAACGTCCATAGGCAGAGAAAGAGCACCCCAGGAATTTCTCCATAATGTTAGAAACATGGAGGTGTATTTTATGAAAATCTCATCATGGTTGTAGATTGAGCAAAGAAGGGACTCCTTGTTGAAAGTAAATATCAAAACCAAACAAACAAAGCACAAAAAAACCCCAAACCCCGTGGCCAAAGAACCAGTTCAACGCCACCTTCCTATTGGTTGATTCAGGTGTGTTCCTGCTGAGTGGTTGCCTCTCCACCCCAGATGCACTGAATCAGAGTTTGTATATGGGCAAGATCCCTGGGTGATTCTTTTGTACACTTCGTGCTTAAGGATCACCTGGGATCTTGTTAAAAATGTAGATTCGTTATACCTGGGGTAGAAGTGCAAATTATCAGCAGCGGGGCTGGGGTTTGAACGGAATGGGGCTGCTTCAAAGCCCTGATTCAGACTCAGAGCAGCTCCATGCCTTACATAGGCAGCGCAGAAGTGCTCTGCAGGGTTTTCTTGGCTGTAATCTTTTTTTTTTTTTGGGGGGGGCGTCATGTGCCACCAGACAAAGGCTGGTTTGACTGATCTGTACTCCGCACAGACAAGAGAGCGCAACGGCAGCTCTCGTCTCTCTCTCTGGACCCAGCCATGGCGATCTCTTTGCTGGCCCAGAGCTGCTACTCGTTGAAGCGCTGTTCTTCCTTGCTCTTAGACCTTTGGACCTCAGGCTGGTGATCCAGGAAGTACTTGTGGACCTTGGCCTTCTGTTTGTGGGTGAGAATCTGCTTGTTCTTGAAATTGTCCCCCTTAACCTTCAGGTACCACAGATGGCGGTCAATCTTCCCAGATTCACGGTATCTTCTAGCAGCTGGTTGTAAAATTCTCATCGTCCTCATGCAGGTGATCTCGGGCATTTGAGCATTGGCAGTACCATTTCCACTACCGGTGCCTGCCTTTTCTGGGGACTAAGGTATTATTCCAGCATTGAGCCCAAGAATGAACAGTCACGGGTTTGTGGCTAAGACCAACTTTGATTAGTTTCTAGACTTGCAGATAGGAGTTGGCAATAGTGATTTCCCTGGCCCAGGTCTTTCTTCCACAGAGCCACCAACCCCCCCCCACCCCCGCCCAGAGAAGCATTGCTGAGCTGCCGAGCTTTATCTCAGTTGAGTGCACACTGTTTACACCACCCACAAACACTTCAGCTCTTCCCAGCTTTTAATTTTTTTTTTCAATGGTCCCATCCTGCTTTTGGTAAGAGGGACAAATTCAGTATCTTAAAAGACAACACCACTAATACAACATTTTCCATTTCAACGATCTTCACACATAGAGTTCAATGACATGAATGATGTTTATCATGTTCAGCTCTATTGTGAAGTGAAACTTTTACTACGGCTCTTCTAGTTATGTTTCTGTAATCCACAGAAATGATTGTGCAAATAAGGTGTGTGAAACACACATAGAGGCGGTTGGTGAGATTTTGTTGCTAGTTCCCTGTGTAGAAGAGAAGCATGATTTCTGGGACCATCAAGGAAGAAAAGCTCCCAGTAGAGCACGTTCCAGATCCCTGCCCAAAGTGGTGGAGGCAGAGACCAGACCATGGGACAGAGCAAAGAAACCGAGGCAGAGCAGAAAGGCTGTGCTGCTGACGGTGAGATAGGTAGGAGAAGCAGCAGGGGGTTTCCTGGGTCACAGACGCAGAGGCCAAAGGACTGTGGACTGAGAGGTTGAGGACCAGAGAAAGAGGCTTGGCTGTGAACCGATGATCTCGCTTGTGGTCACCTGTTAGCCTACCTAGGAAGCCCCTAGACTCGCTAAGAGTGTTGTGAGTTGTGTGTGGCCACGGCAAGGAGATATTGAACCCGGCGGGAGTGTCATGGGCGGAGTGGCTGCGGTTGGTGTCCGAAGGCAGAAGGATAGAGTCGTGTCTGGCCTCTGCCTTGTGGCAGTCGGCCTTGGGCGGTGTGGAGAAGAGGTCAGATATGGCCTCCATGTTGTTTACCCAAACTCCAACAAACATGTTAGTTTATGTCAACAAACCAGGATTCGAATTCACCAGACCGATTATGTGGTGGTTATTCTGCGTTCTTCTTAAGTCTCCTATAAGACTAACCCTAATCACTTCACAAATCAGTGATTATATGAGGCAGGACTATCACATGATTTCAGGCTAAATTATCAGTAGCTTCATAAAGATTACAGATATCTTTAACTACATGTCTGATTCTTTGGTTTCCATTAACTTGAGTAAAAATAAAACTCCCACAAAAATTGTTTTTATGACTTGAGACCATCTCCAGGGAATGAACATTTCAATTTGCAGGTTGCCATAGGGCGGTGTACTGAGGTGCTACAAAGATGGCCCAAACTCTGCTTTATAGTTCAATGTTATAGGTGCCTCTGGGCTCCACGGTGGGTACAGCTTAAGGCGGGTTTGATGCCTTTCCTACCTGGAGAAGGTGAACATTGCACTGAATGAAGGGCTTTCAGGTCTTCCTCAAAGTCGAACAAGAAGTCTTCAAGGTCACGCTCATCTGCAAGAAGGAGAAACCCTGGGATGATAAATTCTGTCTCTCTTTTGGGAGGGACTGTATTACAGGGAGAAGTCTGGATTGTGCTTGAGGCATGGGCTGTTGTGAAGGGAAGTGAAAGCCAGACATCCCCCTTCCTGGGGTTCTCATTTGAAAATTGATTATGAGGTTGCCTTTGTTAGTTCTACTTGAACTATCCTGTGACATTCTCTTTCAGCAAGAAGAGTGACCCCAGGCTCTGATCATCGCATCTAAGCTTTCTCATTCTGTTGTTGCTTCTTGGAGTTTAGGGGGTCCCCAAAGTGAACTGACCTTAAAGAGAGGTGGTGGGCCTTTCCATACAATGGAGGAAATGCTTTACTCAATTTTCTGAACTGATTTAGTCAAATGCTCTGGGCTGTCTTCTTCGAGCACAGGAGCGAGCATCCGGGATAGTATCAGCCTTTCCTGGGGAATTCTGCCTAACCACAGACCAGTACTAACTACTCAGGTGCTGCTGGTAACTACCCAGATACGGGCATCTCAGATCTTCTCAAAGATTCTGATTTGGTAGTTTGCTCTGGTGTGGAGCTTGAGCATCCGTACTTTGTAAATGCTCGTGTGTGATTCTGACATGGGGCCCGGGGTTTAAAATCCGGGTTTAAAATAAGGTCCATGAAGGTCCCTAGTGTTTATCGGATACCCCCAAGGCCTAGACCAGTGCCTGGCACATAGTAGGCACTCGGATGGTTGGTTTGCTGCTGCTTTGTAGTGAACGAGTGACGTAGTGAGTGGCATTGCGGGGTAAAAACTAAAGCGAGAACAAAAGCAAGGCCCAGGCTGTGGTCTAAAAACAACAGCACGAAACAAGACCCCAACCGTCAGCCCCTTCCTGTGTGGGAAGAAATGCTGGCAGATCTGTCGACAAAACCGAATCACATTCTCTCGGGGTTGACAAATCATTACATCACAAAGGATGAAAAACAAGTCTGTGTAGACCCTGTGTGGACTTGCCGGGTTGGCGAGGAGAGGAGTGGGGGGCCTGCCAGAGCACCTCCTCATTATAACAGGTGTGGCTTGAGGCACATTGCGGTCTATTTAAGTAATGTCTTATTTCCGGGAAAGCCAAGTGCCTTCACAGACATGATCTCATTTCACCTCCCTGACAGATGCCCCCATAGGTGTGTGTGTGTGTGAAGTTGGGAGAATGTTTTTGAATTAAATAAGAAGTCGGATTCTTAAGCCCATCTGCTGAAACAGGGGAGACTTCCAAAATGCCGTCTCCCCCTCTTCCTCAGGCCCAAAGAATAAAACTAGGTTTTATCTTCTTCAGAAATAAGTTTCAAAATGGCATCCACTGGAATGAGGCTCTTTAAAAGGTTTACAGGAATACTGAGGTCAGTATTAACTAAGCACCTGTGAGGACAATCCATGCTCCAAAAGAATGTCAATCAGAAGATGAGTCTTAGAAACCCATGGACAATGTTTAGAATGACGCCGGAGGGAGCCTTCTCTTTCTCTGCTTGTCTTTAAAGAATGGGATTCATGCTCGGCCCCGGGGGAGGTTGTGAGTAGAGTTCAGATCATCTGTTCTAGGACCTTTCAATACCTTCCCAGTTACAATCCCATTGCCCTGGCATAGGAAGTCTTACCTTGAACATGAAATAGTCCGGCATCTTTCTTATGAAGGTCATCTACCGTGCTGTTGTCACCTCTATTCCATTGATTAGAGAATTTATAGACGTTCTCACACACGCCAAATGCACAGCATTGATAAGCATATGGCATTTCTATTATCCTGTATATGAACAAAAATAAGACAAAACTATGCCCTTAAAGGAATGAATCATTACTATGCTACTTATAACAATGAAGTTATTTAAATTATTAATGAGAGATGAAGATAATTATTGAATTATATGATGGGGCATATTATGATAGTTCCTCTAGTTTTGTGGAGGTTTAAAAATTCCAGTCATAAAAAGGTTAATAATCACAGTGACAAAGTAGTTACCATATAATGTCACATATATGCACTCGTACACATTGTAATTCTAGCAATTGAACATCCATTGGAAACAAAGTCTGGAAGGAAATATTTAAAAAGTTGTTTAGCACAACCGCTGAAGACAAAGCGGGTGAATAAGCAAATGTGGTGAAGAAAGCTGATGGTGCCCGGCTATCAAGAGATATACCGTCTGGGGTCTTAAAAGCTTGAAGGTAAACAAGCGGCCATCTAGCTCAGAAGCAACAAAGCCCACATGGAACAACATATCAACCTGTGTGATCACGGGGTGTCGAACGGATCACTGAAGACAAATGGGTGCATAAGCAAATGTGGCGAAGAAAGCTGATGGTGCCCGGCTATCAAAAAGTATAGCGTCTGGGGTCTTAAAGGCTTGAAGGTAATCAAGCGGCCATCAAGCTCAGAAGCAACAAAGCCCACATGGAAAAAGCACACCAGCCTATGCAACCACGAGGTGTCGAAGGGATCAGGTGTAAGGCATCATCAGAACAAAAACTCTTACCATAGTGAATGATGGGGGGAGTGCGGAGTGGACATCCAAAGCCCATTAGTAGGCCACTGGAGATCCCCTTGCAGAGGGGTCTCGGGGAGGAGATGAGCCAGTCAGGGTGCGATGTAACAATGATGAGAAATACAACCTTCCTCTAGTTCCTAAAGGTTTCCTCCCCGCTCCCACTACCATGACTCGAATTCGATCTTGCAAGACTGGCTAGACCAGAGGAGGTACACTGGTACAGATAGGAACTGAAAATACAGGGAATCCAGGATGGATGAGCCCCATAGGACCAGTGGTGTGAGTGGCAAAACAGGGAGGGTAAAGGGAGAATGGGAAGGAAAGAGGGAACCGATTACATGGAACTGTGTGTGACCTCCTCCCTGGGGGACAGACAACCGAAAAGTGGATGAAGGGAGAAGTCGGACAGGGCAAGATATGACAAAATACCCATTTATAAACTATCAAGGGCTCATGTGGGAGGGGGGAGTGGGGAGGGAGGGGAAAAATGAGGACCTAATGTCGGGGGTTTAAATGGAGAGAAAATGTTTTGAGAAATGATGTACAAATACGCTTTACACAATTGATGTGTGTATGGATTGGGATAACAGTTGTATGAACCCCTAATAAAATGTTTAAATAAAAAAAAATAATAATAAAAAGTTGTTTAGGGGGCGCATTTTAAGACTTTTATTCTTTTTCTCTGTTCTATTTCCTAAACTCTCTTAAGGGCATATTAATTTCATGCTGTTTAAAGTATATAAAGGCACTATGTTTTTTTTAAAAAAAAATCTTTCCAGGGGCTTTTTAAAATCAATAATAAGCATAACAGGCTTTAAAGAGCATTACTTCCTCAAACAATATCCATTTAGTACAATTTATTAGAACATACACACAGGCCAGATGAATTAGACATTGTAAACAGGAGTACAATAATGTTATAATGTTATTTGATTACATGCTCTAGTTTATAGCCTATGGATCAATGGTTTGCAAACTCTTTCCAGGAACTCTGTGATTCCAGGAGGCATCTTTGTGAAAGAGGAAATGTGGTCAGGGCTCGTCCTAGCAATGCCCCAGGGGTGGGGGCTTGAGGGCATGAAACGCAATTCAAAGGGTTCCATGATCTCATAAATTTAGAGAACCACTATAACATGTCTATTATTTCACATGACCACAAATGTATCTTATTAGTTTTAATGACAAACTCACTTGAGTTCTGGAAAGTTTTCAGATGATATCAAGCTCTGTAAGGCATGATTTCCTGTTAATTTTAAGTGAGTTAAACCATGTAACCCAGTTACGGGAAAAGACGACAGGCGATTGGATGACAGGTCCCTGCAAAACAGCAAACAACAATTGGCTTTCAGTCTGTCAGCATAAACCATTTATGCTAAAAAAGCAACCTAAAGGCGATTCAACTGCTCAATAAGAACTTCTAAAGCAGAGTTCTTACGCTGAGTGGTAAAATCAGCTGTTTTGGTTTTTGTTCCTGATAGCTTTTCTATTTATAATCAGAATCGCAGGAGGAAAAAATGATAATTTTCACATTCAGCTTCATTTTGTAGGGTGGGGGCATCTAAAATCAAGTGGTGCTGTCTTTAGTTTCGGGTGGGGGCGAAGGGGAGGGCAAAGGAGGCAAAGCGTTTTATTTCCTTCTTTCTCCCTTTGACTTCTCTTCTGACCAACTGCTTCTTTTCTCATGAGGGAGATGGTCGAGACGGGGAAGAGGAAAACAAGGATCAAGAGGAACAGGGTGGTTTCTGTCAGCCAGGACGGCAAAGAGTAAAATGAAAGCTTTAATTCTATTCCACCTGATCACTTAGCAAAAATGGAAAAATTTTACCTGAATAACCAGACTCATCTGTTGCCCAGAGAGTCAATGATCTACTTAAGGGCCTTGGATGCGCAGAGGCCTGGCTCTTTAGGCAGGGCGACACCGAGGGTCTGCATTGCAGGCTTTCTCAGCAAAACCAACCTTTTTACTCACAAGAGGCCCCCTGTTCTTAAAAGACATGCCACAGACAAGCAATGGAGTACTCACAGTTTCATTAAAGATGGCAAAGTTGAAAATGCGTTGGCATGAATAGCAGCAATTTTGTTCCAAGCTAAATTTCTATTGTAAAAACAAAACAAATGGGAAAACTTCATGTAAAAAGAAAAATGTATAAAGTTTTGCTAGTTGCACTCATTTTTCTACCAAAATTTAATTTCCACTTGGAATAATTAGCTCATCAACTAAATCACCCTTCAGATAAATGTATTAATGGTACAAAATAACTAAATAGAGAACTTTAAATTAACCTTGTTGAAAGCAATCAAGGGGAAGAAAATATCATTCGGGTAGATTTTTTCATTTTTATGTTTTCCTTGCAAAAAGTCAATGCTAACATGGCTATAAAATTTTATTACCACCCCCCCCCCAATTTTTTATTACTACATTTCTAAGATGATGGGGGTAGGGGAATGGGAAGAAAGGATTTGAGACTCTTCTTCAGATGAGCAAGCATGCTTTAAATTATAAAATGCCCTTGGACATGTAATGAAACTCAACATGAATTTATGCGCATCACCCATAGATGTCAGACCTTGAGACAAACACAAGATGCTTTTAAGAAATTTCCCAGTAAGAAAGACCGACATCTAAATTCCTAATTAACAGAAGAGGGACTAACGTTCAAAACAAAATCCGATGATCGCACAGAATAACTACAGCTTATGAGCGAATATAACTCGCTCACCTTTCGCACCCTCCAAACATAATGAAATATAGATCATTTAGCAGGATTTAAAACTTCTGCAAGAATTTTTATAGATAAGTTAGCAATAAGAATGTTCATATTTTAATGAAAGAAATATGACTTTATGATCTTCATTTAAAAAATGCCTAGCAAATGGGTGGTACAGATGGTTAACATGCTCGGCTGCTAACTGGAGGCTTGGGCATTTGAGTCACTTAAGAACCTTGGAAGCAGGACCTGGTGAGCCGCTTCTGGAAAAAGTCAGCCACTGAAACCACCATAGAACACAGTTCTACGTTGACACCATGGGGCCGCCATGAGTTGGCATCAATTGGATAGCAATATGGCTGCAGTTGAGCAATATGGCTTAATATGTATGGAGCTGAGTAAATTCAAAGTGATCACAGTAAATTTTTCTCAAGTGCAGAAAAGTGATTTACTTACGATATCTGGATGCTGAGTTAACTTGAGAAAATGATATTCACAGAAGAGTCACATTCTCATTTGAAAGGGCCCCTGACGGGAGGAAATTGGGAGCTTTTTCATGGTCCCCTTTCATTGATCTCAGAACAGAAGACTATCCCAGATAACTAAGAAAAGGCACAGGAGGATGGGAAAGCTAGTGATTGGGGTAGGACTTTGGAATTGTTCGCAGAAACATCTTCTATGAATTGCTTATAAAATATAGGATTTCAAAAAGTGCATGGAAAAATTCTATTTTTCCATGCACTTTTTGAAGCCCCGTGTTAAGTATCTACTGAAGAGAGCACGTCGTACTCAAAGACTCTGGCTGAGTTAAATGAAACACGCTGCTCTCGTGAGCTTTCTAGATCTGTAGGCTTGGCATTCCTTAGATATCTCCATGTCTCTTGGCATCCGTTTCCTCTGAGGTCTAGGAGTTTCTCAGCACAGAGGTCCCAACCTCTCTTTCTCTTTTCCCTTTGATCTCTTGTAAGATGAAAGGTGACATAGGCTATACCCTGGGGAATTTCCCCGTACTTGGAGTCAGGGTTGACCAGAGTAAGGGTGCTTCATCCCACCTGATCACAACTGATTACAACTGATCACATCACATCATGGAGGATAATTACATCATCACATAACTGGCGCCTCACTGAGAATCATGGCCCAGGCAAATTGACACATATTTTGAGGGGAGGCAATTTAAACCATGACAAGTATAGTCTCTTATAAATATTAAGAAAATCTTTAGGATACAAGTCAGGAAAAAGAAAAAGGTTTTAAGTAAACCTACCATAGTTTGAATTTTATATATGATTATATTTAATCAAAATCATATTAATATTCAGGTTTAGGGCAGAAAAGTTTTCACTGTTAAACCACACAAAAAAAATCTGTTATCAAAATTTCCCCTATTTAGGGCTAACATGATATTTTAAAAAATAAAATACTATTAAGAATTTACAGATCTTATGTTTTTCTGAGGTACAAAAGCATGCTGTAGGACAATTGTACACAAAGCTTAGAGTACTTATTAAAAATGCAGATTCACAGGACTATCTCCCAGACATTCTAATTCAGGAGGCAGGTTAACATTTTTAATAGTTGCCTGAAGATTTTATAATTGTGGTAAATACATATATAACAAAAAATTGCCAATTAAAAATTTTTCCCACATGTACCATTCAGTGACAAATTATGTTCACCATGTCCTGTAATCGTCACCATAATCCATTTCCAAATGGTCCCATTTTCCTTAGCAGCAACTCAGTGTCCCTTAAGCAACAATTTCCCCTTTACTTCCTCTCACATATGAGAGTCACTAACAAGCTTTGGTTTCTATACGTTAGCCTAATCTTGAGATTTCACCTAAATGGCATTATACCATACCCATCCTTCTTGTGTTTCATGTCACTGCCCTCCCTGACCATGTTTTCCAGGTTTTTCCATGTTGTCATGTTGTAGTACATGTCAGGACCTTGTTTCTCTACAGAGCATGCATATGCCACATTTCGTCCAACCATTCTTCTGTTGGTGAACAATTTAGGCTGTTTTCACCTCTTGGCTATCATGATTAGAGCTGCAATGACCACTGGTATATGTTTCTGTGTTTCTGTTTTCAAGATTTTGAATAGATACCTAGGAGTGGAATTGCTTCTTGAGAACTTTGGGAAACGTGTTGCAAAACTGCTTCCCCAGGAAAGAAAAGCAGCCAGGGAACATTGTGTGTTTTTTTCATTGTTGCTCTCAAAATGATCCCTGACAGTTTCAGGTGAAGAGAAGGCACATCCTATAGGGCAGTGGTTCTCACCTTCCTAATGCCGTGACCCTTTAATACAGTTCCTCATGTTGTGGTGACCTCCAACCATAAAATGATTTTTGTTGCTACCACATAACTGTAATTTTGCTACTGTTATGAATCGTAATATAAATATATGATATGCAGGATATATTTTCATTGTTGCAAATTGAACATAAGTAAAAGCATAGTGATTAATCACAAAACAGTATGTAATTATAATTCATGAATGAAGTGTCATTTTACTTCCAATACTGTTACTTTCAACACAGTAGCTGCTTTTAACAGAGTAGCTGCTTTCAACACAGCAGCTGCTTTCTACACAGTAGCTGCTCTACATGTGTGACTGGTTTGCATAAGTACATTATGGTGCCAACCCTGTCACAAACATCTGTATTTGTCCAGGGTGTATGTGATGGGGTTGGCACGACAATGTCATCATGCTGGGTACTCTTATGTGGGCGTATTTGCATGTGGGCAGACCCACCTGGAGATGGATAGAGGAGCAGTGTCTTGGTTCCTAAAACCATCAGAAATATGACTACTGTGAAAGGGTAGTTCGACCCCCAAAGGGTTGAGAACCACTGCTATAGGGAATTCAACAGCTTGGCCTCTTTCCTCTTTATCAAAGGTCTGCTAACTGGCAGAAAGCATGACTGCAAATTCACTACTGCTGAATGTGTTTCTGGACACTACCAAGTGTAAAATACTTGCTTTTCACAGACAACACACACGTGATGGTATGAGTGTATTGTGAAAAGAAAACATTGGGGGGAGGGTCTAAAAGACACAAGCCGTGCTCTGTGCCGGGCAAGGTGCTCCACACGATACTCACAGGGCTCGGAGGCTCGACAGCTGCTGGAACGCGTCGGCTCTGACTTCCGAGATGTCGTTATGTCGGAGGTCACTGAAATGAGGGTGCCAAAGACACGTTTCAATACGCACAGTCTTCAGAGAACTTCGAAAGGAGGACTGCCTGCTCTCGGTAGAAAGGAACCTATGGGGTGTGACCATCAACTGTATTTTTTAAAAATTTGATTGTTTGGAAAAAGCATTATAATTTACACACTGAAGTATTGACTTTCTTTTGAAGCAGTTAGTTCCCTTGGGAGGATATAAAACCATATTCCAAACATGCCATCATCACGCAAAATAGTTTTGAGGACTCCTTTCCTGGCTTTGCCTACTAAGCCTTTCTTGGATTCTTTGAGGGCCTTTGGGAAGTGTCAGAAATCTTTTTTCTTCCTAATGGCCCAAAGGCATTTGATGAAAAATCAAGTTTGAAAGGCTGGATGACTAATATTGTTTTGATTAAAACCCAAGAGAGACTATAATGCCAGGAGGCTGATGTTTTCTGTGGGATGCATTTTTCAGAGAGGAATTCCAAAGTGTTTTATGCCTAACAACATCCTAGAGACAAATATGGCACCTCCACTGAAGATGGCTACTATGAAACAAACATACTAATAATCCCAAATCCCCGCTCCGATGTAAAAAAAACAAACAATGTTTGTTTCCCCCTAGTCCATGAAAAGTTATATGTATTTGATACTGTGCTCTGCTAAATGGGCAATAAATAGCATCATGGAAAAGCCTGAACTATTGTCAGAATTACCACAATGTGACCGGGAGCCTGAAGTGAACTCATGATGCTGGAGCAGAGTCCCAGATAGACTGCCTAAGCCAGGCTGGCCACAGCCTTCCATTTGTAAAACCAGCACTCTCTGGGTGTGCGGGGACACAGGCCTGCCTGTCAAACGGGGTAAAACGATAGTCTGGTTCCGGATCTGCAGCACCCTGCACAGTCACGGACGGAAAGCATCACACGTTTCTCCAGTGGGCCACGGAGCAAGTGAAACAACAATGCTTGTAAACTGTGAGTTTTGACCCTCGGTTTTGCTAGGTGACTTAGAGACTCTGACAAAACTCAGCTCACCGCCCTTGGGTCAATTCCGACTTTGGGCAACCCTTTAGGACAGGGTAGAACTGCCCTGTGTTTCCGAGACTGTAACTCTTTAGAAGACTAGAAAGCCTATCTTCCTTCCCCAGAGCAGCCAGTGGTGTCTCACTGCTGACTGTGGTTAGCAGCCCACGTGTAACCGCTAGAGACACATAGAGACTTACATTTTCTGAAGTTTCTGGCAGACTGAAAAACTGGGTAAATCTTCTAGCCGGTTGTATGACAGGTCTCTGAAAAACAGAAGGTGCAAGGGGGAAATGCCGTCATGTATTAATCATGAGCAAACACGCCCTGCTCGCCTGTGCCTTCTGAGCTGACAGCTCCCGCCTCTAAACCTTTTCTCAGCACTGACGGGAAGCAGGTAGTCACAGGGATTATTGGATTAAGCAGTAGATTCAAATGTGTACTGAAATGTAACTGTTATACTTCTTTATTTATTTAAAATCATTTTATTGGGCGCTCATACAACTCTTATCACAATCCATCCATCCATCCATTGTGTCAAGCACATTTGTATATTTGTTGCCATCATCCTTCTCAAAACATTTTCTTTCCACTTGAGCCCTTGGTCTCAGCTTCTCATCCCCCTTGCCTCCTACCTCCCTCCCTCACAATCCCTTGATAATTTATACATTATTATTATTTTGACATATCTTACACTGTCCCACATCTCCCTTTACCGGCTTTTCTGTTGTTCGTCCTCCAGGGAGGGAGTTATATGTAGATCCTTGTAATCAGTTTCCCCTTTCTACCCCACCTTCCCTCCACCCTCCCAGTATCGCCACTCACACCACTGGTCCTGAAGGGATCATCTGGCCTGGATTCCCTGTGTTTCCAGTTCCTATCTGTACCAGTGCACATCCTCTGGTCCAGCCAGATTTGTAAGGTAGAATTGGGATCATGATAGTCGGGGGTGAGGAAGCATTTAAGAATTTCAGGAAAGTTGGGTTTCATTATACTTCTTTAATTGACTTAAATAATTTACTTAATGAATCTATATTTTGTTATAATCTATAATGTTCTAGGTATTACTTTACTGAAATGAACACAAATTAAATAAAATAATTGTGAATCTGTCTCTAAGAGTTGCTACATCTCTACAGCTAAGAGAAATCATCTTTTCTAATCAACTAAAAAGAACCCAACAACAATTCAAAACCCAGCACAAACTTTGAAATCAATCACTACAAGGGGTGTGGGGTTGGGTGGGGATTCTAAGAAAGGCTTCAGCCAAAACTCAATAAATTACAGAATCACAAAAACATCTGGACATGTTTATAGTATAATATAACTAATCTAAAACAAGCCACGGTAATTTGTAGAAAGCTAAAAATGGAAAGGCAAATCCCACACTAACCCATTGCCCTGGAGCAGCTGCTGGGTTTGAACCATAAACCTGGGCATTACTAGCACAGTTCTTGACGACTACGGCACCGGCAAGTCTTCCAAAAAGGAGCTGGTAGAAAAAAGTCACGTATTTACAAATTTTAAAACAGGAGACAAGATTATAATATGCCACATATAATCTTGTCTCCTGTTTTAAAATGTATCCACAAATCAGCTAACGTATCTTCATGCCTGATTCTTTCTTAAAACCAGATCACTACAATGCAACTGAAAAATTCCATATTCTTCTATTGTTTTTGAGAGAATTTAAATGGTTTTGTTCTTGAGATGGACCACTTTATCCTGTATTTATCGAATACACTGAGTATATATAGGAATGGAGTTAATTTGCTACATATAAATAGCTCAAATAAAGCTGTTTGCAAGCACAAACTTGTGGTTTATACTGGAGGGTTGAAAGACCCAAAGCAAAGCAAAACAAAATCATATCTATAAACACACACAGACGCACACACACCTGATTAACTATTTTGTATATACTTTTGAAAAGTAGTGAATGCAATAAAATAGATGCGATCTAAACTAATAATTTTTTTATGGATAGTCTATTGGGGGGGCTTTTACCATTCTTATAATAATCCATCATTCAATTGTATTAAGCACACTTGTACATATGTTGCCATCAACATTTTCAAAATCTGTTCTTTCTACTTGAACCCTTGGTATCAGCTCCTCTTTTTGCCCCCCTCCCTCTCCCATCCTCCCACCCTTATGAATCCTCGCTCAATTATGTATTGTTATTTTGTGTCTTAAACTATCCATTGTCTCCCTTCACCCACATCTCTGTTATTTGTTCCTCCTGAGGGATGGGCTATATATCCAACCTTGTGATGGGTTCCCCCTTCCTCCCCTCCCCTATCCCAACCATCCCCCTATCCTCATGATATTGCTACACCCACTACTGTTCCTGTAAGCTGATAATAATTTGACTCACTTTTCTCCATGGGCTGCAAGGGCACAAATGATGTACTTATTACAGTGGTTCTCAACCTTCCTAATGCCATGACCCTTTAATACAGTTCCTCATGTTGTGGTGACCTCCCAACCATAGAATTATTTTCATTGCTACTTCATAACTGTAATTTTGCTACTGTTATGAATCGGGTGACCTCTGTGAAAGGGCTGTCCAACCCCCAATGGGGTCATGACCCACAGATTGAGAACCACTGACTTATTAGTAGAGGACACAGAAAACTGTCTATCTGACAGTGCCATCTTCTGCCTGCAGGCTATACCCTTATCCACTGCTGCCAGATTGATTCCAAATCACACTAATGTTATAAGACAGGAAAGAACAGCCCCACAGACTTTCCTAGCTTTACAAAAGCAGACTGGTACAACTTTCTTGTGGGTTTGAACCACTCACCATTTCATCAATCAGCTGAACACTTAACCACTGCACTACCAAGCCTCCTTGACAATTACTGGAGATAACACTAATCAAGCACTTCCTTTGTACAGGGACCATATTTACAGTATTAGTTGAATTACATCATGTGATCTTTGTGATCATAACATGAGGGAGACGTAATGATTATCCCCATAGAAAAATGATGTGACTTGCCTACCACTATGAGCTTAGAGCTGAAAGTCATACCTTAGATTGTGCACCAAGTAATCCCAATGGGGTGAAACAATATAGATGCAAAACCACTGATGTATCGTGACGATTTTCTCATGCCACAGGTACTTAGTGAGTCAATCAACCAAGGAGAGGAGTTCCCAGGCCCATACTTCTGGGAGAACATAAAGCAGAGGGTAACAGAAGCCAGGACCCTGGCTTCTAGGCTCATTGCAACTAATTCCACTTCCAGATATACATTGGCTAAAGCTTGGATGTTGTTGTTCTCAGCTGTCTACACAAGTGAAGACCTTAATACCTGCCTTGCTGGTCTTATAGGGTTTTTGTGAAGGCCAAAGGACGTTCTTTGAACATAGGAAGAGACTGCAGTGAGTGTATTGTGTTACTTTGGACTTTCTAACTTAAGGCAAAAATAATGGAACCAAGGGACTGAGAAAGCTGCCGATAAGCGTGGACAATGGCACACAGAAGCCCTGGCTGCTGTTTGAAGTGTTGGACATGTAACTCATGTAACCCTCACACTGGTCCTCTGTGGGAATCGGCTAGAGCTCTTAGTTTATAGATGGAGAAACTGAGGCCCAGAACAGATAATTCACTTGCTCAATGTGTTGTGTGATTTTATGCATATAATGAAATCTGGATTTGAACCTGGAAGACAGGCTCTGGAACCTTTGCTCTGGATCATTTGAGCCGTCTGCCCGTACTTTATACTGTGATCTGGTGGAGACACATGTGACTTCCACCCCGAGTCTCTATTATGAGTTACAGCATGTGAAGTCCTCTGGTGTTAGTCAATTTCCTCAAGAAGTACGGACACCAACACCGATTCCAGGTGTGGTAGGCAGAACTCTAAGACGGCCCTGAGGTTTCATCAGCTGGTATACACATACTTCTCAGTTACTCCATGAGATTTCCTGCATTTGCATTTGGACTCCGCTGCTTTCTCAAAGGCTAACCTTGATAAATGTACTTGACCAATTCTCAGTGTCCTCATCTCTGTCTCTGCGTCTTAGGGAGACGTGGGTGAGGAGGAGGAGACTCACTCAACCTCCCGTAACTGACTCTGGGGCTGCCTGGCGGAGTCGGAAGTGATTGGAGAACTAGGCAGGGGAAGCAGCACCACCGGGTTAGGCATTCCCAGTCTTCCCTTCAATGCATGTGCCCGGCTCATTGTTTGCTGCTCGGTAATGCCTACCATGGACGTATAGCTATTCAAGGATTCATCTGCTACAGGCCTCTGTGTGTGAGTGGAGTCATGGCAAGATACCATTTGTTGTTGTTGTTACCGGCCATTGCATTGGCCCCTGGTCATTGGAGATCCCACCTATGCACAACTCTACCCAGTCCGACGTCCTCCCCATGATCGGAACATTGTGAGCCAGAGAGGGCCGCTGTCTGCTCTTCATAGGGACAGTGCCTATCCTTTCGTCTCAGGCCACCTTCGTCTGGGGCAGTGTCGGCATCATAACCACACACAAGCCTCCGCTGTCAAGTGGCTGGTGGCTGTGCATAGCGTACATTGCAGGGAATTGAACCTGGGTCTCTCCCGTAGGAGGTGAAAATTCTACCATGGAATCACCCATTCTTCTACGGTGATCCACTGTGATCCTCCTTGAAAGGTCAATGCAAGCCTCTTCTAATACCCATAAAGTGCTTTTGGCAAAACATGGGAAAGGCAGGGGAAGACACCCAGGTCAACAGAAATAACCTGTGCCAGCTGTTTCACCGTTAGAGGAAACGGAACCAAGAGCCTGCAGTTGTACCAGAGGAATGGTCGGTCATCGTTATGAAAGTTTGTCTGGGTTTGATAACATCGTTTTAAATTTGGGCATCCATATTGGGGTGTTGATCCATGAGGTGGTTTTGCTCTGCTATGTCCAGTCTTCAGAGAGAGGGAAATGAAACACGTGCCAATTAAAATGCTCACGGGAGATGGTCTCGGAGCTGGAGGCAAAGGGCGTGCCTGCCATGATGACGGCGGTCAAGTCAGAGAGCCACTGCCCTGGCCCAATGCGGAAAAGGAGGGCTGACTCCTAGAGCCCGTGGGGAAAGAACCTTCTCCATGTGAAACCACGCTGACACCAGGCCTGCCGTTTCCCTCCTAATGGAAGTTGTCTCTTTACACAACATTAGTGTCTCATTCATACTTACAGCATTTGGAGATTAGGTAACTGACTGCAGACAGTTTGGGGGAGGGATGAGATCTGGGCCCCAGTTAAAGTGCTGTGGAAACACAAAACAGACATGATTCTTTCATGCAGGTGTCCCGCAGTGACATATGTTGATTTCCCACCATGAAGATGGGCAGGCTCTAGGGTGAGGATGCATTCTGGACGAGGTCAGGAGGCCACTCAAGCACTTACAGACTCTCGAGGCTGGCAGTTCCACTCAGATCAGGAAATTCAGTTAGGTGCGAGGCACCATTCAAAGTCCTAAAAGAAAGAGAACCTGGGGATTATTGGAGGATGATTCTCGAAAGGCGTGATTTTACTGCCACTTTCAAAGCCCTTCAGCCCACAGTATTTGTTGGGTCTTCACAATGACCCTGTAGGAGGTCACTGATGTGTGTGAGCAATGGAGACTTACAGTGTTCTTAGTTCAGGTAAATGCTGAAAAGCAGATCTCCCAACAAGTTGGATGGGGTTGTCATAGAAATGTCTGGAAAAAATCATATCACCAATGCCTTAGTTTAAAACTTGTATGGCAAATGACTAGCTGTTCAAAATTTCAGCACATACATTAAAAGTTTTTATGTAATTTTGATTATACTATATTGTATAACATTCCTGATTACTGGGTTGCAAGCAAACCTCAAAAGTGTTTTGATTTGCATTAAGAGATTTTCTGGGGGGAAAAAAAGAAATCCATACGATATCGCGTTGAAAATTTCTGACAGCAGGGCAGATATGAATGGCAGAAAGGAGAAAAGTAAGAGAACTGACTGGAGTCATCCTTGGTAACCTTTGTTTGCCTCCAAACCCTGTGGATAGCCAGTGAGTGGCAAAAGGTCATTGGAAGTACTAGCAATCATATAATAATGGAAGATGAAGTTCTATAGGAAGGTCAAATCCTATCACGACTTACTCATGAGACTCTTTAAATTATCTGAGTGGAATATAACTATTTGAGGATTTTGTTCCACTACAAGTTTTTTCCCCTTTAATTATTGTTCTAAAAGGTGGGATATAAAAATAAGAACTTCAAAATATTTTTCTTGGACAGATGTTTTCAATATCAGTATCTAAACTGCCTGATTAGCAGAGCCCCACACATAGTTCCTAAATGAAATTACTTTCTACTTCACTTAAATTCAACCAATATTTATTGAATCAACTATGTTCAAAACAGGGAGCCCAGATGGTGGACTGGGTTACATGTGGGTCTACCAACCACGAGATCAGCAGTTTGAACTCACCTACTGCTCTGTGGGAAAGAGATGACCCTCTCTGTGTCCATAAAGGTTTGCAGCTCTGGAGACCCACAGGGCAGTTCTACTCTGTTCTATGAGTCTGAATCAGCTCCATGGCAGTGCGTTTGGTTTGGGGGCATTTGGTGTTCAAAGTGTGAAGGTAGATACTCCAGGGATTGGACGACTGATTCATTTAAGAAACTGTCTTTGAATATCTGTTCTGTGCCTGCTGTTATGTTAGATATTGGCAATCCTGCCCCAAAGAGACATGGGATCAGTTGAGAAAATAACAGCCCATCTTGTTCGCTTGTGTGGTACATACAACAACTTGATAAGATCCATAGGGCTGATGGCTATTTTCTCATCTCCAGAGAAAGAAACTGAGACTCAAGCATGTGAATTTGGCAATTTCAATGCCTCCCAGCGTCTTGGTTTTCTAATTTGTTAAACGGAGATAAGAGCATGTATTTGTCTTGTTTGTGTAAGAGTAAAAGGAGTGAATGCATGTATAGCATCTGGCACGGTGCTTAAGGTATGGTTGTCAACAAGCAAACCGAAGTCCTCTAACCCTCTAATCTTCTAACCCTCTGCTCTTTTCTTTTCTCTTGGGACCGAACAATTGGTGAGAAGAAGAGCTAAAACTGGAATATAGGCCTTACAATTAAGAACTGGATTTCCCCCTTATAATATTCCACATCCTCTATTATACTGCATGCTTATATGTTTGTAGTTGTGTTCAAATATATGTCCATGTGTACGAACATGGGCTAGGTTTGGATATGCACGTGCATGTAAACCCATTAGGCAGAAGTATCACAAAGACAAAGCACGATAGGTTTCCGGGAAGGAGCTTTCTCTTGTGTTACAGGAGAGCAAGAGAAACTGACCCTGGAGACAGAATTTCCACAAGTATAGTGAGGGGATGAAAGAGCAGAAGTAAAGGTCAAAAGGAAAGACTTGTGTTTGGAAAATAGCATAGTTTGCTACGCCGGGAAGAGGCCCTGGGTGGTGAAAATGGTTAAGTGATTGACTATAGCCACGAGGTTGGGGGCTTGAACACATCTAGTGGGGCCCTGGAAGAAAAGCTACTGGGCTTGCTCCCCAAAGATCACAACCTTGACAGCCCTATGGATCAGGTCCACTGTGCGCACATGGGGCCACATGGGGACCACTATGAACTTGAGGACAACTCGCAACAATAACACACACACAAAACCCAAAGCCATTGTCATAGAATTGATTTTAACTCAGAGTGACCCTCTAGGGCAGAGTGGAACTGCCCTGAAGGGTTTCCAAGGCTGTGAATCTTTATGAGAACTGATTAGCCACTGAGCATTTTAACTACCGTGGGCTCTTTCAACAACACAACACAACACAACACAACACAACACACGGTAAGTCAGGAGGGCTTTGGGGAACTGATAGGAAGGATTGGCTTGGACTATGTCTCGGAGGGCTAAGACTGTCAGCGGGTAAGAGGTTTCTGTGAAACGTAAACAGCTGGTCCTGAACTCTTGTTCGTGACACAGAAAGGAGAGTTACAAGACAGATGCTGGGCTTCTAGGAAGATGCCAGTGATGTTGGCAGCAAGGATGAAAAAGGGATGGATGGGAGAGGGACAGAAGAGGGACTGCGGAGGTAGACCTGAGGACTGGGAAGGTAGAAAGGGACCATGAGAAGCTCTCACAGAAATGGGCAGTCAGCAGGGGCTGTGAGGAGGGGCACAGCGGCAGTGACAAGAGATGGAAATGGAAGTGGAGCCTCACAGAGAAAGCAATCTATACCAATAAATATTGGGCTGTTAATCGTCCTCTGTGGGGTATTAACATATCAACCCCCCTCTGTGAAGCAAAGCCAGTACAATTTATCATCCTTGTAATACGCAAATACTGCAGTCCGTTGGGTTCAAACTCCTCACTTTGACTTGACTGACTGCCAGAACATTTCAGAAATGACAGCCGGCCCTGCTTTCAGCGGTCAGTTCCTAACTGGGACTCTCATTCTGTGTGGCAAATCCCCCATGATTCCAGAAAGCCTTTTAATCAAGTTGGCCTAGGACAGACATCTGCCAGGAAGTACCGTTAGGGTCATGTTCAACAGTTGTTCTTCCTTGCCTTCTTCATATCTGAGCCTCTGTTCCCATGACTGCAGCCCAGTGCTATGTGCCAAACTCGACTGAAAATACCCCACTGTACACACAACCACTGAATTGGTTCTGGCTCACGGCAGCCTTATGGGACAGAGTAGAACTGCCCCTGTGGGCTGAAAGACGGTAAATCTTTATAAGGTAGAAAGCCTCTCTGACAGGTAACTCTTCATTAAAATCCAGCTAAATAGTTATATGTTTTCATCCTCCTACATCTATATGCGACCAGGCTTCATTCTGTGCTAAATGTGAAACACAGAATGAACTGCACCTTGCAGTTGTGGACTGTCTACACTTTGGCATAGAAATCCTCACATACACCTTTCTAGAACATATGCAACTTGCTAGACTTGCATCCTACTTTGCAACTCAATGTTTAGAGCTGATAAGTCATAGATAGAGGGACTTAGCCTACAACATAATTCCATACCCCTCCAATTTAGACGAGCCTCCAGCTATAGAGGATTCCTGTTTGTGTGTAATTCCATTTCTAGTATTTGGGTTCAAGGTTGGACAGTGTGGCCCTGGCATTGAGTCTCTAAAAATCATTTCCTACCCTAGTAAATGAAGATACCAAACGTATTTCACAGGACGAGTCTAAAGAAAGACAAGCCACCTACGTTATATAGTGTAATGTCCTGTGCATTGGTGTTATTGTTATTTGCTGCCCTTGAGTCAATTCCAACTCCTGATTAGCTCTCTATTCAGGCTAGAGCCGCTCCCAGGGTTTATAAGAAGCGGTTTGTCAGGGCTTTCTTCCGGAGCCCCTCTCACGAAACCCACGCCGCAGAGTCCATGCCGGCGCCTAGAGACGCCCTGCTGGCTTCCAAGCCTGTAACTGTTCATGGGAGTAGAAAACCCAGTCTTCCTCTCTTGGAGCTGCCGACTATGTGGATTATAGCCTAATGCATAACCACAGTACAAACCCCGGCTTTTGAGGAGTAGTCAAATACGGACCCAGTTCCTTATCCTGCTTTTGAAGCCATTGCCATTGAGTTGATTCTGACTCAAGCTGATTGTAAATCTTTAAAGAAACAGACGGTCTCTTCTTTTGTTTGTAGAGCAGCTGGTGGGATCGAACTGCTGACCTTGAACTGACTTTTCAGTTAGTAGCCCAATGCTTAACCTCCAGGAGTCTGTGTTGCATTTAGACTCACTGTCATGGAGGCAATTGTGACTCATAGCGTGCTTATCCTATAGGGTCGAACTGCCCCTGTGGGTTTCCAAGGCTGTAAATCTTTACAAAAGAAGAACTCCCCCCACCCCCTGTTCCCGGGAGCAGTTGTTGGGTTCGAACTGCTGATCTTGAGGTTAGCAGGCCAACTTGTAACCACCAGGGCTCCAGCCTCCTGCCTATAGTAGATCCTTACAAAACCAAACTTTATACCCTTCCTGTGTTCAGGTAAAACCTGGACGAACATCGTCACTCATTCCTCTGTATAGTGTCTTACAATGACAACTAGGTCAATACTGAACATTCATTGTAAATTTCAGGATGGAAACCCCAAGAGCACTGTGGTCACTTACATTGTAATCAGAGAAGGGTTGCCTACAAATGCTTTCTCAGGTATCGACTTGATATTGTTGCTATGAAATCCTCTAAAAAGAGAGAGAAAACAATCTAGAAAATCACATATTACAATCATTGCATAGTTTCCCTCCCTGTGGCTACAGTCAGCATCGTTAGGGGGACAAGGTTAAATTGTTCTATGCATCTGGGCCCCTAAGTGCTCTTTAATACTAAGGAATCTGAGAATAATAATTGTGCTTTGTGGAAATTGACACCCTCACGTTCTAAAAAGAAAGTCTATTAATGAAATAAAATCATGATAAACGAATAATACTTGGTTTGATTTGCATGTTGAGCAACCTTTTTGACTAGAGTCAGTGTTCCAGAACTTCTAGACTCTTATACCCCATTTGATGGACAAGGCTGGAAAGGGTCCCAGAACAGTGTTTTCATAACTTCACCATAATACACAGTTTCTAGTTAGATCCTAACCTGTATTTCTTGAAACTGACTGACCTTGGATAATGCTTCAAATGAGCACAGTGCCAAGGTCAAAGGGTCTTTAATAATTAGCAAGATTTTTGTTTGACTTAAAAGTGATTTTTTAGGGGAAAAGAGGATACTGAAGGATCAAGGTTCAAAACATCACCGTAGGTAATGGCCTATGTGGATCCCCTACCCCCACAGAACCCAGAAATCTGCATCCCATGGCCATGAGAACCTGTTTCTCCTCTCCACACACCTCTGTAAAACAGCCTAAGAGAGGGAGCCGTCTTTGGAGAGAGGGTTATGATTTGCTCTTTCTGACCTCCTTTGGAGCTGGGAGAAGAGATAATTGATTTAAATAAACTGCAGTGAAGCAGAGATTTCAGTAATGGCTTTATGAGGATGAAATTCCCTGACCCCGAGGAATGGGTTTGGAAGGAAGAAGTCCTGGCTCTGTGGGTCCGTCATGATAAAGTGATTCTCATCTGTTGGTGCCAGTGCTGTCTGAGAGGCGGAGGGCAGAGTCAGGGACCTCTGGGTCCACGGTGGCCCGTGGCTGCATGATGAGTGTGGCAGCATTTGGGCTGTCTGAGTACACGGAGAATGGTTTCCCAGCCAAGCCACTTGTGGGGTTTCCTGCGGCTGGACCTCCTGAAGGCTTTCTCTTATAAACAAGCTCCTCTGGCTGTGTGTCTTACATCTCTCTGCCAGGAGAATAAGCCTCTGTGTTTATTTTCCTTTCCAAGTGTCAGGACATTCTTCACGTAGGTTATTCATATTTTTAGGGACCAACAAAAGGTCACATGAATTAAGTGTGGTCAGATGGAAGACCATACAGGCACCCTAGTAACTAGAAGTTAACATTATTAGAAAACTAATGTGTGTGTGTTTAATTTTGGTTTCTAAGTAAGATTCATGAAGAATAGAAGGAACACTGGTTACACAGTGGGTAAGGCATCTAGTTGTTGGTTAAAAGACTGGTAGTTGGAACTCGCCAGTCCCTCTGTGGGAGAAGGGTATGGGGCGTCCACTTCCATAAAGATGTACAGCCTTGGAAACCCCATGGGGAAGTTCTACTCTATCCCTCAGGGTCACTGTGCACAGTAACGAATCCAATGGCCAAGAAGCAGTTAGAAGAATGTATAGGTGAAAGCATCTGGCACTATCCTAGGCACATATCATTTTATTCAACCATTGCTAGATTTATCTGACCAAAGAAATTTTGTTCTGAGATAGCCTCAACAAAGAACAGAATTCCATTACCCTTCTGCAAATCATCAAGTAAATAAATATTGGGAGATTATGGCTTAGGAAAAGAGACAAGATGCCCATATATTAGAGAAGACCCATTATAACTGAAAAAAATCAGTTATTACTGGTGATAGGTGCCAATTAAAAATATTTCAAGGGCAATTAGCCATTATTTTTACAAATGTACCATATATACTTGAGTATAAGCCAACCTGAATATCAGCCAAGGCACCTAATTTTACCACAGAAACTGCATCAAAAATGTGCAGAAAAACTTGGCTTATACACGAGTATATATGGTATTATGTTTTCTAGCAAGTATATCATGTATAATCATCACACATATTTTAGAATAAATTTAAAAAGAATAATGCTCCCTCATCAAATTTGTTCTTAATACTTACAACTCTTTCAGGTTGGAAAGTGTCTTGATTGCAGTGGGGAATTCATCAAGGTTATTGTAATTTAAATCCCTGAAAAGAAGTGAGTATTTTCAGTAATACATTCATATCAATTAGATTTACAAGAAAAGTTAAAATGCTCTCCCAACAGACCACTGTCATTGATGAAAATTCTCTGTCCTCAGAGAGAGGATTTACTGGTTTGCTGACCACTATCGTTCCACAAATATCTTCATTAAAATGATCATTGAAAGAATCCTGAGACATTTCAGAGTCCAAGTTCAACGGCACCTCGGCAGTAGAAGGGGAGGGATGTGTGTGGTGGTGTCAGTTTTCAAGTAGGAAGGCCTCTTGACTGTGATCTGACCCATGCCCACATAGCCCTTCCTCTGCACCTGACTGATTTGCTAAATGACAAGCTTAGAGCTGCCGTCCTCCAGGCTCCTGAATGGTAACCCTTTGCCTGATCCCTCCTCCCAACTCTGACATTTCCCCCCTGCTTCTTTCTCTTTTTTCCCCCCCCGGCAGGATTTCTTGGATGGCTGCTTTTTCTCTGGATCCCGTAGAGTTCCTGTATCTCTCCCACCCTGAAGTTCAGGATGACAGCTGCTTCTGGAGAGGCTTAAGTGATACAGGGTGCATGCAGGAAGGACATCAGGTTTAGAATTTCCTCAGGGTCACCAATAATGATTCAGAGTAGAGATATGATGTTTTCTTTGGTCTGGGAGGCTAAACTGTTATTCTTCATGCAAAGAGATGGACTGACCAGATAAATGATCTCAAATCACTCAGTTCTCTGTTCTGAGGCAAATGGCTTTTCAATTTCATTACTTGCAAGTACTGTAGAGCCTTTACTCCATCCACCTCGTATCTACATCTTCATATGAAAAAGTAATTGCTCCTGGTCTCTGGGAATGACAGCTCTCCCAGATGACGCAGGAAAAACCTTTGGTCAGGCGATCAGATGTGGTCAGATCTTCCACTGTGCAGAAGGACTGCTATTTAGTTTTAAGAGCAAGATAATTTGACTGAACTAAACATGAATCAAGATTCCTACTTGTCTGGCACAAACCATCCCTAAGCTATACTGCAGGCAGGAAACTGATGTCTTTTGTGGACATAAATTTTCTTCCTGTTTGTAAATCTCTCCAGATGCTCTGTTTTGATTACACAAGGATTGGGCCCTTATAAATTACTTGGATTTCTAGTGGGGGGAAGGAAGAAGTTGGGAATGACCAATTTACTGGTTCTTTGTAGCCCTGAGCACAGGCGGGTGGGGGAGGGAAGACAAGAACACACACAGGAGCTTGCCCGGGAATACTTTACTCTGTCCTTTCTCTCTACCCTGCTGGGTCCTCACCCAAACATGAGAGAGGATGGTGGGGGCGGGGAGGAAAACACCAAGCAAAACTATGTATGGAAATACCCATCCAGGTCCATCTTGTTCTTTTGTTCCTGTTGTAGTACAAAGTGACGGAAGGTGATTTCCATTGCTAAAAACCCCAGCCTAGCCCTGTGTAGATAAGGAAGAAATTGAGATTCTTCCCAGTAGCTGGTGGGAACTGCTTGTTTATGCCAGTACACTGACATCAAGATCCTGACTGAACAAGTTCATCTTCCACACCTGAGCGGAAACACTGAGTGACTTAAGTAATAAGAGTGTAATTGCTCATCAGTTACAATCAGGCCACCACCACTGCAAGTTCAGTAGTTCGAGCCCACGAGTTGCTCCTTGGGAGAAAGATGAGGCTGGGGCTGCTCTTGCAAAGATTTAGAAGTCTTGGGAACCCAAAGAAGCAGTACTGTTCAGTCCTAATGGGTTGCTCTGAGTGGTATAGAAATGATGCGAGGATACAGGAGAGGTGGTCTTTGGTTGGCCTGATCCGAGGCAGCACTGAGGAATGGGTGACCCTGTGTGGTTTATTTCTCTTGGATAATAAAAACATGTGAAGGCATGCAGCAGAAGTCTCCAGTGTTCTCCTCTCACAGTACAGTCAGTACCGTTCCTGCCAGTCTCCCCTCTCCTTATCCCTTTCTTATTCAAGAGGGTGATGAAGAGCAGGCGTCCGGCAGAGAGAAGGCTGGGGTGCTGGGGTGGCCCACAAGAACCTTTTGGTCTTGGTCTCTGGGAAAGGCTCTAGGAAAAAAGCTGACTGGCTGCTACTTTTATCACAGGTGCCACCTCAGAACTGAATTTTTGACGTATTCTTTGGCAGGAGTGTATAGGAGTGTGATTTCAGAGTTCAACTAGCAAAGGAGCCCATTCCAGTTATGCTACTACCTAGCTAAGTAATGATGGTAGAATAACACCCCCTTCCTCGAACATGGAGTGAATACATGGATAATAAAGCTTTCCTAGGGTGGTTGTAAGGATTAGTGAGACAACAGGCCAACTGCTCAGTGCAGTTTATGATTATTGATTTACATGGTAGCTCTTACTACTGTTTAATCTTTTGAAAGGCGGCCACACAAACCCTCAGTATTTCCTCCCGAAGCAGTCTGTTTTTCTCAGATTAGAGACTTGGGCATTTGCTTAGTCTGCATCCTCTCATTCAGCAGCGAAAACCGCACACGTGAACAGTAAGCCAGAGTGACCCCACAGCATCGATCCTTGACAGTGAACACACGTTCCTAAGCAAGTAGTCACTGCTCAAGAGATAACATCTCATTGAACTCACAATGATTTGAACACATTTATCGCTCTCTTGTTAGATTAAAATAAAACAACTGTTTTATTGCTTAACACTGTGGTGTATGGGTATGTAAGCTAAAGCACCTGTAAATAGTGCTTTTTTAAGTTCAGGCAATTAACCAAACCAAAGAGCAAGTTGGGTTTTAAGACTATTTTGATTCATTCAGAATATTCATGAAAACATTGAAAACAGGAAACAAATGAAAGGTCAACTCACAAAGTCTCCAGGCTGTGGAGCCCCTCAAAGCATCTCTTTCCCAGGGAGTGGATTCTGTTGTTATGGAGATGCCTGCAGGGCAGCAGTAAGGCCACAGTCAGGAAGGCACGCTGCACATGGCCGACAAGGGCACAGTATTGCACTTAGTTACGTCCAAAGAAACCGATAGGAAGAAGGCACTAACTAGCTACAAGCAATGCTTTGTTCACAACATTGTAGAAAAGTGGCTCTCTGCCCATTCATGTTCACCATAGTCAATTCCATGCTGTAGGGTTTAATGGGGACACATCATTGCACTTTGTGGGTTTGAGATATCAGGGAGTCTATAAGCAACATGATTAGCACAAGTCAATTAAGGTTTTTTTTCCCCATACGGTCATTCAACATATGCTGTGTGCAGCAGAGGTCCACCAGCATGATTTTGGAAGAGAGGGGGCTAGGCAGAGACACTGACCATTCCTGGCAAGTGAAAGATGGAGGGCAAATCCTTCACCTACTAAGTGCAGGTCCTGTGAAAGCTGAAGGGATATATTATGGCTGTGTTCGAAGGGTCAACAGGAAATGTTATTTCAGCTGTGGGGAGTGGTAAACAGATTTTTTTGGTTTCCCAAGGAGATTTAGATCTTGACACAGCACTAATGTGTCTAATTATTATCTGAGTAGGACCAGTGGGAGCAGCTGTTGGCATCTGAAGGCAGAATCGGCTCTCAAAGGGATGATGGGCACAAGGAGGATTGGGGGAAAGAATAGCTGGTCTCCGAAAATCCATTCGCTTTCGAGGAAGGAAAAATTAAAGCACGTATTCAGCTTCTAGTGGGTCATAGCATTAGCTTTGTAGCTAAAATTCCGTGTAGAAAAATTTAATGTCATGAACAATTTGACTTTTCAGATGGTATCTGGAGGCTCATGTGAGATCTACACGGCATTTACGGGGCATCGAATACGTACAAAACATTGCAAAATAGGGGCCTGAGGGAATCTTAAAAGATGGGTAAGGTGCTGCCCAGCGATCAAAGGCATATATGCTACAGCCTAGGGGATTGCTATGTAATCACACAGTAAATGGAACCAGGGAAGGCAA